GTTAAGGTTAAGGTTAAGGTTAAGGTTAAGGTTAAGGTTAAGGTTAAGGTTAAGGTTAAGGTTAAGGTTAAGGTTAAGGTTAAGGTTAAGGTTAAGGTTAAGGTTAAGGTTAAGGTTAAGGTTAAGGTTAAGGTTAAGGTTAAGGTTAAGGTTAAGGTTAAGGTTAAGGTTAAGGTTAAGGTTAAGGTTAAGGTTAAGGTTAAGGTTAAGGTTAAGGTTAAGGTTAAGGTTAAGGTTAAGGTTAAGGTTAAGGTTAAGGTTAAGGTTAAGGTTAAGGTTAAGGTTAAGGTTAAGGTTAAGGTTAAGGTTAAGGTTAAGGTTAAGGTTAAGGTTAAGGTTAAGGTTAAGGTTAAGGTTAAGGTTAAGGTTAAGGTTAAGGTTAAGGTTAAGGTTAAGGTTAAGGTTAAGGTTAAGGTTAAGGTTAAGGTTAAGGTTAAGGTTAAGGTTAAGGTTAAGGTTAAGGTTAAGGTTAAGGTTAAGGTTAAGGTTAAGGTTAAGGTTAAGGTTAAGGTTAAGGTTAAGGTTAAGGTTAAGGTTAAGGTTAAGGTTAAGGTTAAGTTAAGGTTAAGGCTAAGGCTAAGGTTAAGGTTAAGGTTAAGGTTAAGGTTAAGGTTAAGGTTAAGGTTAAGGTTAAGGTTAAGGTTAAGGTTAAGGTTAAGGTTAAGGTTAAGGTTAAGGTTAAGGTTAAGGTTAAGGTTAAGGTTAAGGTTAAGGTTAAGGTTAAGGTTAAGGTTAAGGTTAAGGTTAAGGTTAAGGTTAAGGTTAAGGTTAAGGTTAAGGTTAAGGTTAAGGTTAAGGTTAAGGTTAAGGTTAAGGTTAAGGTTAAGGTTAAGGTTAAAGTTTAGGTTAAGGTTAAGGTTAAGGTTAAGGTTTAGGTTTAGGTTTAGGTTAAGGTTAAGGTTTAGGTTTAGGTTTAGGTTTAGGTTTAGGTTTAGGTTTAGGTTTAGGTTTAGGTTTAGGTTTAGGTTGAGGTTGAGGTTGAGGTTGAGGTTGAGGTTGAGGTTGAGGTTTAGGTTTAGGTTTAGGTTTAGGTTTAGGTTTAGGTTTAGGTTTAGGTTTAGGTTTAGGTTTAGGTTTAGGTTTAGGTTTAGGTTTAGGTTTAGGTTTAGGTTTAGGTTTAGGTTTAGGTTTAGGTTTAGGTTTAGGTTTAGGTTTAGGTTGAGGTTGAGGTTGAGGTTGAGGTTGAGGTTGAGGTTGAGGTTGAGGTTGAGGTTGAGGTTGAGGTTGAGGTTGAGGTTTAGGTTTAGGTTTAGGTTTAGGTTTAGGTTTAGGTTTAGGTTTAGGTTTAGGTTTAGGTTTAGGTTTAGGTTTAGGTTTAGGTTTAGGTTTAGGTTTAGGTTTAGGTTTAGGTTTAGGTTTAGGTTTAGGTTTAGGTTTAGGTTTAGGTTTAGGTTTAGGTTTAGGTTTAGGTTTAGGTTTAGGTTTAGGTTTAGGTTTAGGTTTAGGTTTAGGTTTAGGTTTAGGTTTAGGTTTAGGTTTAGGTTTAGGTTTAGGTTTAGGTTTAGGTTTAGGTTTAGGTTTAGGTTTAGGTTTAGGTTTAGGTTTAGGTTTAGGTTTAGGTTTAGGTTTAGGTTTAGGTTTAGGTTTAGGTTTAGGTTTAGGTTTAGGTTTAGGTTTAGGTTTAGGTTTAGGTTTAGGTTTAGGTTTGGCTTAAGTTTAAGTTAAGGTTTAGATTAGGTTTAGGTTCAGGTTCCAAGTGTTATTGATAAAGATCTTGAGAATCTCTGACAAGTAGGTGGATCTGGGCTGTGTGGCCTCACCATTCACCCCCCCCCCCCCCCCACACACACACTGCTATAGATTATACAGTTTTAAGCATCCACATCATATATGCTAATTCATCGAATTCTATTAATAATTCTATCGTTCGCACTGACGAAATCAGATCATGAAGCATATGAGTCGGTTGTGCATTTTGACCTCCGTCGAACCCATGAAACTAGTTCAGCTAATCCCTGGAGTTCGATCTAACCCAGGTTAAGAACCACTGATCAATAGCTTTAATGATGTGGATATCTGAAAACGTTTTCAGCTACAGCTGTCTGTGAGAGATTACTGGAGAGACTTCATCACCTAAAGCCAGCGTGTCAGGGGTTCCCAAGATTTTAGAAAATACATTTATCAATTTTATTACAACTAGCTACTTTGTTTTCTACTCGCCTTGATGTTTGGAACGGACAGCTAAATTTTTACTGGTCAGCGTCACAACCGACCAGTACACCTGCTTCGTATGCTACAGGCTATCCTTATTCATAATATACGATTATATTAATATTTAACAAGAATAATATAACATTTTACAATAAAATATTTACATTAAGGTACGTAAACTGCCCGTTCGACTATGACATAATTAAACATCCTAGTTCTATATTTGACCAAATATTTATATAATAATTAGTGTAAAATTGTTCAGAAAAATTAAATGTTATTTTTGGCACCCCTCGGGCGTTGCAGACTTGAGACTGCCCCCGGTGGGGGTCCCTAATGCAGCGAGACTGATGATTCAAGTGGTACACCTATCCTCCTGTGCAGCAAAACAATTAAGCGGCCCCCATGTGCTAAGATAGCCCCTGGGGATCTAGTGACGCTTGACTACATATTTTCGTAGGAAGCCGTCACTCCAATATTTTTTAAACAAATATTAGGCCTATGACAGAAACCTTTGCGTGAGTGTACTCAAAAACTTCCCAACTTGTCAAAGCGAAAGTATGAAGGATGTAGTAATGGATAAAAGACAGACACACGGTGTTCACATGAACAGCTATATGTATCCAGCTCAGGCGGAGGAAACCCTCCTGATGTAAGGGACATCCAGAAATGACTTCATGCTTTTTTAATGACTCACAAAAGACCAGACACTCACTCCTTAATGAAGTCATTTATTAATTGATTATAAATGTTCAATTAATTCATGTACTAATAATATAAACAAGTTAATAAAAAGTCTAGTGACAATTTAAGCGCAATTTCCTTATGTTATCCATAACAATTTTAAATCGAGATAAATCATATATTCAGCAACGGAAATAGTTTTATTTTAACGAGTAGCCTACAGGATGCTCAGTTTTAAAAAAAAGACAACTATATAAACCTATATCAACGAGTAGGCCTACACGATGCTCAGTTTTAAAAAGTAGTAAATATTTCTTAATTAATTTTTTGTGACCGAACAAAAGGATATTTTTGAAAACTTTCTTTGGCAATATTGTTCTAAATTATAGCAGGAATCGATTGGTAAATGTTTCAAGTCGCTAAATGGTCTGGTTGCCGAGATATGGGCAAAAAACTGCATGTTTTTGAGGGGTTTTTTGGCTTTTCCGGGAAATCCAGGAAGGAATTCCGGGAATTTTTTTGGCCCACAATCATCCTCGGAACTTGCTTAACATATTTGCTTTGGAAATAGTCCTTGGTATTGCTTCGTTGAGGAGGAGATACGACTTAAAGCTGCGGACACACATCCATACATCCATACATCCATACATCCATCCAGAAATGACGCATTATTAAACGTAATTGCCAGTATGGAAATTGCGCTAAAAATAGTCTTGTCTTCCTTGTTTTATTAATAAGATTTGTCAAACTAACTGATAATATACTATTACATTAATATCCGCTAATTTATGACAGATAAAATGTGAGAAGTGGTGAATGTACAGCTAGAAAGTTCCCAAACGATTCATTTATCTATTAGATACTTGTAAGTCTAATAGCGGGAAGGGGGGAGGGGGGATTGAGAAAGGAACTTAAAAGGGACAAAAAAGCGCCGATGTGCATCTACCTTCAGCACCGAAGTTGGGATAGTCTCAAAACTTTTCTTAAAGCCTTATTGTAACACACTCAAGGGAGAGAATTCAAATTATTCACGTTAACTAAATAACTATAACATATTTTGTAAAACAAAAGTAAGTAAACATACATAAAACCTAAATTATTGTTATTATATTCTTTTTGATTATTTTTAAAATACAGTATTGTACTGAATATAAGTTCTACTTCTAGTTCTACATTAGTGTTTCGATCTTTCGGTAGTTTAAATATGTGGCATGTGACGTCAGTGTTGATTTCGTTCTTGCTACAAATATAAACACTTTTCCGGCTGCATAATTAAAACTGTGTTTCTACATTCGAATATATCTTTCTTTTTATTTTCTTTCTTTAAATAAAATTTAGTTTAAACATTTAAAACATCCAACATATTATTTTCAACAAAAGTCCGTAACTTTAACTTTTACATATATCATTGAAGCTACTCAACTCTTAGGCTCGAAACAACCGGACAGAGAGAGAGAGAAATGTGCGCACCACATGGGATTTTATATATATATATATATATATATATATATATATATATATATATATATATATATATATATATATAAAATATATATATATAAATGAATAAATAAATAAATATATATATATATATATATATATATATATATATATATATATATATATATATATATATATATATAAATGAATATATATATATATATATATATATATATATATATATAAAATCTATTATATATATATATATATATATATATATATATATATAAAATCTATTATATATATATATATATATATATGAGATTTTATATATATATATATATATATATATATATATATATATATATATATATATATATATATATATATATTTGTGTGTGTGTGTGTGTAATTTTGCATTTAACTAGCCATCCCGGCCAGGCCCTGCACTTGCCTCTGGGAAAAACTTTTCTGTAAAGGACCATGACTTGTGTGTTTATCAAGCAGCATATAGACGGTTTTGCTCGGGTTTTGTAAATATATTACGTTTTGAATATAATGTCTATAAATATATTATTAGAGCTACAACGAACTTGTGCTTTTTTGGTCCAGAACTGTTTTATATCATTCAATTTTACACTCATAAAAACATATTCATTTTTTTTACAATTACATTGATTTTAATGACAAGAACAATTTTGAAAAAAAAAAAAACGTATTTTGAATATTTATGACATTTAAAACATAGACTTTTACAATATACAGGATAAAATGTTCATCCTTGTAGTTTGGCTTGCGCAGACAGTAATGGAACTAGCATTTCAAATCTGTTAGCTGGAGAATAAATATAAGATTAAATTCAATAAATAATCTATTTAAAAAGTTAAACTTCAGAGCTATACAAACTTGTAAAAGTGGTCATGTTGGTTAAAAAAATAATTTAATTTTTTTACACAAATTAAAAATTAATACGTATTCTAAAAATAGTTTTCTAACAAGACTAATTCCTGGCCTACTTACTACAGTTTAACGATGTGAAGGTGCTTGCAGTTTTCGCTTCCCACCAACGGGCCACTAAAAATCCGTCTCGGCCACAGTATTGAACATTTTTGACGAGTATACAGAATTTGAGCGCATCCAGAAACCTAGGAGGGGAAAGTAAAAAGATTAACCAGTGATGTTAATTGGAACGACGTTCTGTAATATCTTTCGCTATTACAAAATATATTGGTAAGACAAAAAAAAAGGATTTCTATAGAACTTCCATGTTTTAACTTGCTTGTGCAGGTTAAGTTTCCTCTTTAATTAAACCTACATTAAATTAGCTCAAATGTATTTATCTAAAATTAAATTACTGGCATTTGATGGCTGGCGAACTACAATTTTGCTTATCTTTTGAACTGTAGTTTCTCATACAAGCTTTCAACTCAATTCGTGTCATATTGTCTAGCGTCTTGTTCTTGGCGCATTCCGACTCAGCAAAGGCAAAAAGATCTGAATTTGGAAATCAAATGGAGAAGAACGTGAATAATCTCGAATTAGTGTTTAAATTAAAATATTAAAAATCTTTTGCGAAGCTATTCAAATAAATTTGGTTGTAAAACCTGAATGAGTGATTTTTGTCGGACTTTAAAGATTTAATGTATTTGATGCTTGGGTGCTTTCGGTAACTGAGATATCTCAAGCATATTATGTCAAGAGAACAATAAAAATATTTTACCATCTTTGTTCTTTTTTGAGCACAGGAAAACACCCTGGTCGCTTTCACGCCCCTGCACATCTTTAAACGTCTTATCGTCGCATGTGTCCTTAGCTTTAGCATAGCAGGTGCTGAAGGCTTTTGCTTTCCTGGAATGTTTTATGTTAATTTGTATTCATTCATTTCTGTTTATAATTACTGTTATTGATTTCAAAATACCTAAACTGTTTGCACGCAATGATGGCCTGCCCTAATTGGATTTATGTTTAGCCTTCTTAACTTGCGCTAGTAAATAGTTTAGCGAAAATTCTAACAACATTCTGGGGAATAATATAGTAGAAGATAGAGAGAGAGCACACTGCTTAAGGTTTGTGGTCTGTGTCAGTGGCGTAGAAACGGGGGGGGGGGACCTTAGAGGGCCATGTGCACTGACCTTTTGGGAGATGGGGCGCCTAAAGGAGTAGAAAAAATTTAAAGAGCTCATTTTAAGCTGCAATATTGAATTATAAATAGCCATATTTAAGAAAACAACCAACTACAACGCTTATCATACTGACTTGACTTGTGTGTATATATTTAAAATTACCTAATAAAACTTTTTACTATATAATTAGTAGCTTGTGTGAAAAAGATGCGTGCTTCGTTGCATGTTTCATGCCAATCTCTCCCAAAGGGTTTGAAAATGCGTTTTAATTTTAAAGGTATACATAGGATATGCTCAGTGTTTCTTCCAGACTTTTTCTCCGGGGGGGGAGGGGGGGGCACTTGAAAATTTCGGGGGGGGGGGGGGGTTAGACTTTCTTCTGGGGCGGGGGGCGTACACTGTTAAAAGTATATATTTTCTATATAAATTATATAAATTTCATTTCATTCGGGGGGGGGGGGGGGGGGGGGCGCGGTAAAAAATTCCCCCCCCCCACCCGAAGAGATGCCTGGAAGAAAATCTGGATATGCTGTAACTAATATGCACCTATTACGAAATACCCTGTACATTTAAATTAGGCACACATTTTTGACCTTATCAATTCTAAAAATATTTTACCTCATCTATAAGGGGCAAAAGTTTTGCGCCGAGTAAAATGAGTCAAATGCCGATTTGACAGAAACATGAATTATGTTCCGTACTGGATATTACAAATTGACACGGAAACAAAAACACATAACCTTTAGACTCAGAACAGGCCACAACAGACTAAAACAGCACATGCATAAAAACTAAAAATTGGGTATGGCGAAATTTGCCCTTGTGGCATGGCCCCGCAGAATACAGAGTACGTCCTTCAAGACTGTTCCTTATATAGTCAGGCACGATCCAAACACTGGCCCCAATACACCACACTCAAGGAAAAACTATATGGGGCACCCGCAGATCTGGAGACCACAGTCCAATTCATACACGAAGTTGGACTTGTTGTTTAAATCCTCCACCATAAACTAAATTAAGAACGCAGAAGAAGAAGAAAGAGGAAGTACTATACTGAACAGTTATCATCAGTTGTCATATTTTAATTTTCTTTTTTTTTTATCTATCTACAAGAAAATTATGTTTATACAGCTAATGACACATAAATCAAGTCTCAACATTACAAATAAAATAAATTGAGAGAACACTAAAGTTGCGAAAATAAAAATGTGTCTCTTACTGACAAAACTGTTCATAGAATGCCTCGCCTTTCTCATAGAGCTTCTGGATAAAATCGTCAGTCCAAGGGTTGGTGCAGGCCTTGAGCTGATCACAGCTGTCACTTCTTTTGGTGTGTCGAAGTTCTATAACACAAGGGGGAGGGGAGGATAAACATTCAACAAGATAACATCAGTGGGGTAGATAGGTCTACATTTAATCAACTAGAACAAACGTGGCTTAGATCAAAGCATTGAATTAAAAATGTATTGAGTGGGTAGATAAAACGATAACATCAGTGGGGTAGATAGGTCTACATTTAATCAACTAAAACAAACGTGGTTTAGATCAAAGCATTGAACTAAAAATTTATTGAGTGGGTAGATAAAACGATAACATCAGTGGGGTAGATAGGTCTACATTTAATCAACTAAAACAAACGTGGTTTAGATCAAAGCATTGAACTAAAAATTTATTGAGTGGGTAGATAAAACGATAACATCAGTGGGGTAGATAGGTCTACATTTAATCAACTAAAACAAACGTGGCTTAGATCAAAGCATTGAACTAAAAATGTATTGAAAGGATAGATAAAATTACTGAAGCAGGACACATCGGCACGAGGGGGCGCCATGTGTGGATGGTAGAGTATACACAAAAGTCTCGAGTTCGAATCAGCTCTGATGGGGACCCAACTCCCGTTGGGGAAAGTAAAAGCGGCCCATCATAGTGCTGACCACTATTTCCTTTTATGTGCATGTCACTGAAACAGGTGAACTCTGCTTCACCTACTCAGTCGATCGTCATGTTCAAAAGGGAAAATAAGCGAGATAGATCCAACAAGAACCTACACGAGATAGATAAAATCATTTACCTAGTGCACATGATCAGACAAATCTATTCTACTAGTTAACAAGAGTGAGATGTTCTCTGATGGTTGAAGATTCGATTCTAGCATCGCTATATTCTTATGAAAGTAGATATGTTAAAAACGTATAGTCTCACATTTTCAACGAGAACGTAAACGAACTGTGATCCACGCTAGAAGCACGACGTGTTAACCCACTGTGTATCTGAGATTATTTCTAATTAACGAATTTTACTGAAGACTTTTAATAATAGAAAAATGTATACCCTAGCGTAAATGAAATAAAAAGTCATAAATCTGAATGTCATTACAAAAAGAACATTTTTTTAAACCAAAAGTTTTCACATGCTACTGACCTGCAGCGATGTAACAAAGAGATAAAACCAAGACGAGTTTGAACATTTTGGAAGTGTGAAGCAACGAAATCTGGCTAGTTGGCTAAACACTTTTGGTAAAGTGTCGCCGTAATGTACCAGATTATATAGGACGACAGCAGGTGTTAACCATTTCATGACCTTCAGTATTGTACAGCACGCGTTAACCTTTTAGGGACTATAACAGCAATCACATTTTAATTTTTTAAAATACATTTTCGTTTCTTTTTTCTTGAGCTCGTTGAGCTTGATATCCGTGCTTGATTTTTAAAATATTTAATGGGCCTTTCGAATACCTTAGGGACTATCCTTGTTGGCCTTCATTAAATAAAAGGGGGAAAGGATTTCATCCAAACGCATACGTTGGTATAGAGCAATCGGTATCATTTCATCAGTGTCATGTCATTGGTGTCATGTTATCAGTTTCAAGTCATCAGTGCCATATCATCTGTGTCATGTCATTAGTGTCATGTCATTAGTGTCATGTCATTAGTGTCATGTCATTAGTGTCATGTCATTGGTGTCATGTCAACAGTTTCATGTCATCGGGTCATTACCGACGTTCCCGTGAAAAAAACTAACATATTATATGGTCCACATTATATACTTGCTATCTCTTACTTCTGATTTTTTTAAAAACCCTGAAAAATGGTCCTCAACATGTTTTATCTTCTTGTGTTGTGTTATTCTCTTGTCAAATCTAATTAGTCACGGCATGATCAGTATTAATCTTTTGTAAATTATTAGAAATGTAATTAGCTGCCTCTTTAACTACAAACTGCTGACTGCCACGATGGAGCGGCTTTAAAGATTAGCTTCACGTTAAGCCCCCCCCCCCCTACATATTTATTATTTTGTGACGTGGCAAGTTGATAAGCGTATAGTTTAGAGAATGTTCTGGATTCTAAATAACGTCGGTTCAGTAATTTCGAGAACACGATTAAAAGATTAATACATGTTAAACCCGACTACATAGTATAGGGAGTAATATGTATTAGGTGGCGTTATAACGAATCAATACCACTAATTAAAAAGTATATATATATATATATATATATATATATATATATATATATATATATATATATATATATATATATGCATTTTGATTAAACAAAATGTAGTCTTCTTCTTCTTCGTTCTTATTTTTAGTGTTGGAAGGGATCCCCCTCTAACACAATTAAATATTACGTGTCCACTAGTTATGCGCCATATGGGCCGTTGACTCCGATTTCCGCCTGCTTTTCTTTTTGGATTTGCTTCCATAACCTTTGTCCAACCAAGAACAAATTACAAGGCAGCAGTAGTTTGATTTTTTAGTTGTCCACAGCTAACGAGCCTCATCTGCCCGAGGGTTCGAACTCGAGACTTTTCGGTTTAGCAACCATGAGCTCTACCGACTCGACCACGCCGACCCATAAAATGTAGTGATGTAGCAGTTATGCTAAAGAATAAGCAGTTCTAATTTCTTTGTCTTCCCCATCAAGCCTAACCTAATTTGCATGTCGCCAACGTTCTTGTGTACTTGGTTAAAATATCAAACCCAGCTAATAAACTTTCCCAGCTTTACCAGTTTGTCGGCGTTCCGTTCTCCCTACGATAAACTTAGGCCAACTTAGGCCAACTACATACGTGGCTGCTACACTGTATCCCATTCATGCCGTTGTCCGTAATTACAATATAATTGTAAAACATGCTTCGTCTTCGACAAGACCTGTTTAGTCTAGTCACATGCATTGTCAACCCTACAACTGCAGTCTACGCCACCACACTGTGTGTGGGTAGTGTAGATAGCTGATAATTATGTATTATTAGTGCTGCAACGAGCTTTTGCTTTGTTTAGTTCACTGTTTTGTAATCCGTTTGTTTGTGGTAGGCCTATTTAAGTGTGTTTACAACACTGAATTGTGTATATTAAATTTATTTTAGTAAGGTACTGCTTACATTTCAGTTTTATATCATTCCATGTTACACACATTAAAACAGATTCAATTTATTTATTTTTCCTTAAAAATGACTTTTAAAGACAAGAACACGTTACAAAAAAGTTTTGTGAAGATTAATGACGAATAAAACCAAAGACTATATCAATATGCCAGATCAGATGTTCAATGTTTTATTTTGGATGCCGTAGACAGTAATGGAACCATCATCTCAATGCTGCGACCTGGAGTGTAAGATAATAATAAATAAATAATACTACAAAAACAGTTTAACATCTAAGTTACGCCAACTTTAAAAGTAATCATTTAGTTTGTTTTAGATGATAATTTGGTGGTTTTTTTACACCAATCACAAAAATCAATAAGCTTGCCAACAAAACTTACGGGCTTTCCTGGCCTGGTTGCCACAACCCAGCTGCTCAAAGGACGGTCCAGTCGCCACATTCCACATGCGGCTGAGGAAACCTCCAACACTGCTGCCACAGCTTTCAGTAGCTTTGTTGATCACACACATGGACAGTGTATTAAACGATCTAGAAAGCAAAAGTTAGCATAAAATAACCAGTGACGAACGCTGCAACGATTTTTTCAATATATGTCTCTACTCCACAAAATATTAGTAGAATGAAATGTTTTATATAGAAATAGCATTATTTCATTTGTTAATGCGTTTAGCTTTTTTGTTTTAAATAAATCTACATCAAATAATATAAAATTGATCCACTTAATATAAAAACAATTACGGGCATAAGCTGTGGGCTGGATTATATTGATGAAACCTCTCGACAGATTTCCGGTAATTCGTCAAACAGTCTTCCTGAGCCTGTGTTCGTTCTTGCTTCTTATGCTTGTTCATGGCGCACTCAGAATCAGCCAAGGCATAAATATCTGAATTTTAAACAACCAATTTAAAATTTTCTCATATTTCGGAAATATTACTAGGCTGAAGATTATGAGTTAACAAACTACACTTTTAAAAATCTAGATTTTATCAAGGCTGAAGTATTAATGAATTTAATATGTTCGATTTAAAAAAAGAGGAATATAAAGAAACTCGCATTTTAAGAAATGCAGTTCAACAAGCTTTAAATGTGTGGATAAAAAAACTTGGCACTTAAAAATCTCTTTTATATGTTGTCGGCAGAATATTTTTTCACCGTTTTTGGTCTCGACTGAGCATAGGACATCAGCTAGGTTGATCTGGCCCCTCACGACATTCTTAAGAGCTTCATTTTCGCAGTTGTCCGCAGCTTCATGATAGCAGGAGCTGAAGGCTTTGGCTTTCCTAGAAAATTGTATATTAATTTGTACTGATATATTTTGTTCATATTACCTACTATTTTCAAAATACTCAAAAGTCTTACTTTTTTGTACACAATGATGATCTATACTTAAAAAATTAAATGTAGCTAAACATTCGCATAGCCCTAAAACTAACACGTTGAATATTGGAAACTAGATCTGCTACTATCAAATACTTTCAGTGCAATTTAAATTATAAACTTGGATTTATTTATGGTCTTGTTGACCGACGGAAGTAAATATTTTTAACAGGACACATTATTTCTAACAAAGATCTGGGGTATAATATGGTCGCAGATAGAGCAGATTATAATATCCTGAGGGTTTGTGTTCTGGATTGGAGCGTAAAATGTCCGTAGACCTACATAGACTATACTTGTGCCAATATGATAGAAGGATGAATTATGTGCCATACTTAATACTTTTAATCCTTTAAATAAAATTTAATGTACTATATATATATATATATATATATATATATATATATATATATATATATATATATATATATGTATATATATATATATGTATATATATATATATATATATATATATATATATATATATATATATATATATATATATATATATATATATATATATATATATATATATATATATATATATATATATATAAGGTGGCCGCTCTCTTTGCTGCTGGCAGACATTAAGAGAGAAGACATCCGCCCTCCATGCACAATACAACTATCATCATTAGTCAATAGTTAAGAGTTATCCATTTATGACGTTCACATCGGATGGTCCGAAAAATCGATTTTTTTGTGGACGTGTGTAGACTGGGGGGAGGGGGGGGTGGGGGGTCGGGTCAATGTTGAATCTAATATCAAAATACTAACATCTAAAAAATAAAAATAAAATTAATAACTACAAGCAGAAAGTATGAATTAAATCAGCAGTCCATCATGTCAGTCCTTCATGTTAGTCAATCATGTCAGTCCATCATGTCAGTCCATCATGTCAGTCCATCATGTCATGTCAGTCCATCATGTCAGTCCATGTCAGTCTATCATGTCAGTCCATCATGTCAGTCCATCATGTCTGTCCATCATGTCATGTCAGTCCATCATGTCAGTCCTTCATGTCATATCAGTCCATCATGTCAGTCCATCATGTTAGTCCATCATGTCAGTCCATCATGTCAGTCCATCATGTCAGTACATTATGTCATATCAGTCCATCATGTCAGTCCATCATGTCAGTCCATCATGTCAGTCCATCATGTCAGTCCATCATGTCAGTCCATCATGTCAGTCCATCATGTCAGTCCATCATGTCAGTCCATCATGTCAGTCCATCATATCAGTCCATCATGTCAGTCCATCATGTTAGTCCATCATGTCAGTCCATCATGTCAGTCCATCATGTCAGTACATTATGTCATATCAGTCCATCATGTCAGTCCATCATGTCAGTCCATCATGTCAGTCCATCATGTCAGTCCATCATGTCAGTCCATCATGTCAGTACATTATGTCATGTTAGTCCATCAGGTCAGTCCATCATGTTAGTCCATCATGTCTGTCCATCATATCATGTCAATCCATCATGTCAGTCCATCATGTCAGTCCATCATGTCAGTCCATCATGTCTGTCCATCATGTCATGTCAGTCCATCATGTCAGTCCTTCATGTCATATCAGTCCATCATGTCAGTCCATCATGTCAGTCCATCATGTCTGTCCATCATGTCATGTCAGTCCATCATGTCAGTCCTTCATGTCATATCAGTCCATCATGTTAGTCCATCATGTCAGTCCATCATGTCAGTCCATCATGTCAGTACATTATGTCATATCAGTCCATCATGTCAGTCCATCATGTCAGTCCATCATGTCAGTCCATCATGTCAGTCCATCATGTCAGTCCATCATGTCAGTCCATCATGTCAGTCCATCATGTCAGTCCATCATGTCAGTCCATCATATCAGTCCATCATGTCAGTCCATCATGTTAGTCCATCATGTCAGTCCATCATGTCAGTCCATCATGTCAGTCCATCATGTCAGTCCATCATGTCAGTCCATCATGTCAGTCCATCATGTCAGTCCACCATGTCAGTCCATCATATCAGTCCATCATGTCAGTCCATCATGTCAGTCCATCATGTCAGTACATTATGTCATATCAGTCCATCATGTCAGTCCATCATGTCAGTCCATCATGTCAGTCCATCATGTCAGTACATTATGTCATATCAGTCCATCATGTCAGTCCATCATGTCAGTCCATCATGTCAGTCCATCATGTCAGTCCATCATGTCAGTCCATCATGTCAGTACATTATGTCATGTTAGTCCATCAGGTCAGTCCATCATGTCAGTCCATCATGTCAGTCCATCATGTCAGTCCATCATGTCAGTCCATCATGTCAGTCCATCATGTCAGTACATTATGTCATGTTAGTCCATCAGGTCAGTCCATCATGTCAGTCCATCATGTCTGTCCATCATATCATGTCAGTCCATCATGTCAGTCCATCATGTCAGTACATTATGTCATGTTAGTCCATCAGGTCAGTCCATCATGTTAGTCCATCATGTCTGTCCATCATATCATGTTAGTCCATCAGGTCAGTCCATCATGTCAGTCCATCATGTCAGTCCATCATGTCAGTCCATCATGTCAGTCCATCATGTCAGTCCATCATGTCAGTCCATCATGTCAGTCCATCATGTCTGTCCATCATGTCAGTCCATCATGTCAGTCCATCATGTCCATCCATCATGTCAGTCCATCATGTCAGTCCATCATGTCAGTCCATCATGTCAGTCCATCATGTCAGTCCATCATGTCCATCCATCATGTCAGTCCATCATATCAGTCCATCATGTCAGTCCATCATGTCAGTCCATCATGTCAGTCCATCATGTCAGTCCATCATGTCATTACATCATGTCAGTCCATCATGTCATATCAGTCCATCATGTCAGTCCATCATGTCAGTCCTTCATGTCAGTCCATCATGTCAGTCCATCATGTCAGTCCATCATGTCAGTCCATCATATCATGTCAGTCCATCATGTCTGTCCATCATATCATGTCAGTCCATCATGTCAGTCCATCACGTCAGTCCATCATATCATGTCAGTCAATCATGTTAGTCCATCATATCATGTCAGTCCATCATGTCAGTCCATCATGTCAGTCCATCATGTCAGTCCACTACTCACCAGTCTACTCAGAGCACTTGTTACTCATACCACATGCATTTCACCTTTATGTAGTCAAATACATAAAAAACGTTTAATAAGCTACACAATAAGATCACATAAAGATAAGCGTGCAATATTTCATTAAAAATGATATGTTAATCCTTTCATTGCTCAAACTAATTTCATCAGCCTTTTTGATGAAAGGATAACGGAGAGCGGTTTTTTAACGACCATTGACTCAATGGCTTTAGCTTACATGGATGACTCTTGACAAATTGGCTTCTGTTAATAAGGCTAACGTACGTGACAATAGCTCAACATTAAACCTCTCCGCTATTCTCTAAGCTCATGTGATACATTAAGCTCTCGACTTGAGTTAAACTAATACAGAATGTTAGTCCTCCCTATTTTTACACAACCACGTTTTGATAAAGCCTCAGACAAAAATTAAGCTCTTTCCGAATTTTAAGCTCCTGTTATTAATTAATTCTCTATACAAATGTGCTCCGACTTGCATTAAGTGTCCGTCGTATATTACGCTCCACCCGATTATAAAGCTCATGACTTAAGTTAAGCTCTTGAAGAACATGAATTTAGTTTTTTTTTTGTTTTAAGCTCTTGTCCTTTTAATTTCCTTCAGAGTACTAAGCTCCGGCTTAACTATACTTTTTTTGGCAAGCTTTTCACAATTGCCTTATTAGCGTCGTATATGTTAGTCGGAGCTTCTTAAATTCAATTGCTGAATCTCCGAATGTTGAGTTTATTCTTTTCGGGAGCTTGAATATCATGACCTTTTTGAATCGGGAGCTATTTTGTCACTTGCCTTTTAGACAGGGCACCCATAAAATGCGTTTAAGAATAATTCGACAGGTAATTAAAATTAATTATAAACGTTATAAAAATTACCATATCGTTAAATTTTATTAGTTTTATTTGTGAGTGTTCCCTGATAAAAGACCTTACAGCACCAAGCTAGTGTGTGTGTGTGTGTGCTGTTACGACCATTCTGAACCTGTCCACGGTGAAACCACGCAACAAACATGAAGTCTTCCACCCTCGTTCTCATAGCTTTCTGCTACTTGGGTCAGATCCTGTATACTGAGGCTGACCGCACGTGCGAAGGTAAGATCACTAGGGTGTGTGTGGGGGGGGGGGAGGGGGCGCTGAATTTGATCACATACTACTTCAGTTGGGAATAAAAAATTAAATTTGTTTTTTATTATGCTATTTTCTAGCCTTTGACGTTAGTACATTACTTTGCGCGCGTGTGTATGTATGTATGTATATATATATATATATATATATATATATATATATATATATATATATATATATATATATATATATATATATATATATATATATATATATATATATATATATATATGGTTTCATGACAAATGATCTCAGGACAAATTATCTCAGACAAAATATCTCAGACAAAATATCTCACGGACAAATGATCCCAGGACAAATGATATCAAGGACAAAAGATCTCACGGACAAAAGATACCAGGACAAAATATATCAGGACAAAATATATCAGGACAAATATATATATATATATATATATATATATATATATATATATATATATATATATATATATATATATATATATATATATGTATATATATGTATATATGTATATATGTATATATGTACATGCATTCGTATATTTGTTTCCAGAGCCGTCCCAGAGGCTCCTGTCTTTCCTGTACATGTTTAGCGGCTCCTACAGCAGCGCTTACAAAACGTCCAATGAACTCAACCACCATGACCAGCGCGTGCATGACGTCATCAATCCCATCTTTCGACCCGTCTATGTCAGAGCTCTGATGCCGGTGAGTTTCTTTCAAACATTTTTTTTGTGGGGGGGTACTTAGAGCTACTTCCGAGGCATGCGAGTCGGACGCTACTTTATATTTTTTCTATATACATCATACATTTTCTAAGGGAGGGGGGAGTGGTTATGCTTAGGGTGGGGGGGTTCTCGCGTTTTCTAGTTGTTTTCAGGGGTGGAGGTTCTGCTTGAAGTAGCCTAGGTACTTTACTTCTGATTCCAGAACTGTGCGTTTTAAAACATGTCAGACATTTTCTGATTCCAGAACTGCGTGTTTTACCTGGAAGAGGTGGACAACGGCCGTGTGTTTAGAATGCAAATATTTGTTATCAAACAGGATAGCGAAGGCATCATTCGCATACAGCCATACAACTTCACAGACCCAACAAAGTACAGGTACTGCGTCATTTTTATTGTATTATGTGTCATCAAATTGAAAAAAAAAACATTTGGTAAAAAATGTACAAAAAATGTACAATTTTTTTTTTAAAACTGTAGTTTTAATGACTGAATATTTGACGAAATCTTCCTTATTTTTACTCATGTGGTAGAAATGCAGTAGAATGATAGTGATTATGCGTCAATAAAGGAAGTTACGAAGCTTAATGTTAGGGCCATGAATTTGGTTGTGGCTAGGAAAGCAAAATGCGGCAAATTATATAGATCTAAGAGTTATAAAATCGAGTCTTGTCAAAAATTGCTAAAAGAATTATGTTATTAAATATTTGAATATTTAAAAGACTTTAATTTATTTAGCAACGGAGGATTAGAATTTTAAAACTATAGACAGTATTGTTGTGGTATTGTAGTGGTATAGTCGTGGTATAGTATTATAGTAGTTGTATTGTATTGTAGTTTTATAGTAGTGGTGTAGTTGTTGTATAGTAGTTTTATAGTAGTTGTATAGTTGTTATGTGGTAGTTTTATACTAATGCTATAGTAGTGGTATAGTAGTTGTATAGTAGTTGTATAGTATTGGTAAAGTAGTGGTTAACTTTAAATATTGTTCTAACTCCAGTCCCGGAGAGTTCGACGTGGCTGACCTTGAGAACGTGACCCTGGACCAAATGAGCACCAGTGCAGAGTGCCAGATCTCCTTCATGCAAACGGAAGTTGACGTGTTCGTCGGGACCTTCCCAGACTGCACGCGCCATCTGCCAGATGGGGTGAGAATCTCAGAGACTTTTTGCTTTTGTTGTTTTCCTTTGGGGGGAACAATATCTACGGTGTTTCTTTCAGGCATCTCTCAAGGGGGAGCAGTGTTTCTTCCAGCGTCTCTTCGAGGGGGGGGGGGGAGAGCACTCTCCCCGAAGAGAGTCTACCGCCCCCCCCCCTGAAGGAAATGGAATTTATATTGAATATGTATACTTTTAATCATGTCCACTCAACCCCCCCCTACTTGGAAATTGTAGTCCGCACCCCCCCCCCCCCCCCGGAAATTTTAAGTGCCCCTCCCCTCGGGAAAAAAACTATATATATATAGTTTCAAGTGAACCCCAAAAGTTTTAAGATCCCTTCCCGGAGAAAATATCTCAAAAAACCCTGGTAGTGATACATTATAATACCTGAAACTATTCCAGCATTCTGTTAACATTCTCTTATTTAGACGACCCCGAAGTATATTTTAAATCACCCAGTATTCTGTTAACATTCTGTTATTTAGACATCCACGAACTATATTTAAAGCTGCCAGTATTCTGTTAACATTCTAATATTTAGACGACCCCGAACTATAATTTAAAATTGTGTTATTTAGACAACCCCTAACTTTATTTTAAGGCTTCCAGTATTCTGTTAACATTCTGTTATTTAGACAACCCCGAACTATATTTTAAAGCTGTAAATACTCTGTTAACAAACTGTTATTTAGACGACCCCGAACAATATTTTAAATCACCCAGTATTCTGTTAACATTCTGTTATTTAGACGACCCCGAACTATATTTTAAATCTGCCAGTATTCTGTTAACATTCTGTTATTTAGACGACCCCGAACTATATTTAAAGCTGCCAGTATTCTGTTAACATTCTGTTATTTAGACGACCCCGAACTATATTTAAAGCTGCAAGTATTCTGTTAACATTCTGTTATTTAGACGACCCCGAACTATAATTTAAAATTTTGTTATTTAGACGACCCCGAACTATATTTTAAAGCTGCCAGTATTCTGTTAACATTCTGTTATTTAGACAACCCCGAACTACATTTAAAGCTGCAAATAATCTGTTAACATTCTGTTATTTAGACGACCCCGAACTATATTTTAAAGCTGCCAGTATTCTGTGAACATTCTGTTATTTAGACGACCCCGAACTATAATTTAAAATTGTGTTATTTAGACAACACCTAACTATATTTTAAGGCTGCCAGTATTCTGTTAACATTCTGTTATTTAAACGACACTGAACTATATTTTAAAGCTGCCAGTATTCTGTTAACATTCTGTTATTTAGACATCCACGAACTATATTTAAAGCTGCCAGTATTCTGTTAACATTCTTTTAATTAAACGACCACGAACTATATTTTAAAGCTGTAAGTACTCTGTTAACAAACTGTTATTTAGACGACCCCGAGCTATATTAAGTATATTTTAAATCACCCAGTATGCTGTTAACATTCAGTTATTTAGACGACCCCGAACTATATTTTAAAGCTGCCAGTATTCTGTTAACATTCTGTTATTTAGACGACCCCGAAATATATTTTAAAGCTGTAAGTACTCTGTTAACAAACTGTTATTTAGACGACCCCGAGCTATATTTTAAATCACCCAGTATGCTGTTAACATTCTGTTATTTAGACAACCCCGAACTATATTTTAAAACTGCAAATAATCTGTTAACATTCTGTTATTTAGACGACCCCGAACTATATTTTAAAGCTGCCAGTATTCTGTTAACATTCTGTTATTTAGACGACCCCGAACTATATTTTAAAGATGCCAGTATTATGTTAACATTCTGTTATTTAGACAACCCCGAACTATATTTTAAAGCTGCAAATATTCTGTTAACATTCTGTTATTTAGACGACCCCGAACTATATTTTAAAGCTGCCAGTATTCTGTTAACATTCTGTTATTTAGACGACCCCGAACTACGCCTTCGTCCTGTCGTGTTCTACCATCGACGCCATCGTCTACTGGCCAGAGTCACGTGAGGGCAGCAGCCGTCTGCCTTATGACCATCGCAAGATCTTCAGGTGATTTTCTCTTTGTATGGACGTCTGTATATGTTTGGTATGTCTCTTTGTATGGACGTCTGTATATATTTAGTATGTCTGTTTGTATGCGTTCGTCTGTATATGTTTGGTATGTCTCTTTGTATGGACGTCTGTATATGTTTGGTATGTCTCTTTGTATGCGTCCGTCTGTATATGTTTAGTATGTCTGTTTGTATGCGTTCATCTGTAGGCTATATGTTTGGTATGTCTCTTTTCGTTCGTCTGTATATTCGTCTATTCGTTCGTCTGTATATGTTTGGCATGTCTCTTTGTAAGCGTCCGTCTGTATATGTTTAGTATGTCTGTTTGTATGCGTTCATCTGCAGGCTATATGTTTGGCATGTCTCTTTGTATGCGTCCGGCTGTATATGTTTGGTATGTCTGTTTGTATATGTTAAAAAGTAAGTAAAGAATCTATTTTAGACCTAGCGATTTATTGGTCAGATGAAGTAGAGTTCATATGTTTCTTGACATCGGCATATGAAGGGAAGGTGTGGTCAGCACTTTTCCCAGCCGATTTTACTTTTTTTTAACTAAGTTAGGTACCCATCAGAGCTGGGTTGACTCAGGGACTTTCTACTGATTTAGTCCCAGATTCGAACTCGAGACTTCTGGATTAGCAGTTTAGTGCTCTACCACTTGGGCTACGTCGTCTCATTTTGTATATGTTTGTATCTATTTATTTGTCTTATTGTTTGTGTTTGTGTCTGTAAGTATGTGTTTGTATGTTTTGCCGTTCGTTTTGTATGTGTTTGTATTTTTGTTTTGCACGTATATGTTTGTATGTATGGTTTGTTTTTATGTTTAGCCTGCCCATTTGTATTTGTATGTTTGTAATGGTTTTTCTAATGACCTTTTTGAGATGTGTATAATTCCGTTACCCCGTGTTAGCCCTTCTTTCATCTTAATTCCGTTGTCCCATTAATTAATTTAAAATATGTTTTTACCTCCAGATACCCTCTGCTGGACTACATGACCAGAGGTGCTAAAGATTTCAAACCGCCTTGCAATTATTAATTAACCATTTTTTTAATACATCCTATATTTTTTAAATATGCATGAATTAATGCTGAAAAATTTACAGTAATTTTAAAATGTTAATATTAGTCATAAAATATAGAAACTGATAGTGGATATTTTGTTTACTTGACTACATTAACTATTTAAAACTATAGGCCCTTTTTTTTTAATTTATCTTATACTTTTATTAAAGGCAGTACAATTTTCGTACGTGTTTTTGTTTATTTAATTTTTTTAATTTTTCTTTTTTTTTTTTTAATTATATAAATGATTTAACATGCAAAATTTAAAATCTAAAATTCAGCAAACGTAGCTATTTCAGTAATCTTGTTTCAACAATTCCTTTTATTTTGTAACCAAACACTCTAGTAATTTAAATATCTCAATTACTCAACTGTAAACAGCTTTTTAGCATTTTAAATATCCAAATTACTGAACTGTATACAACACTCTAACATTTTATTATCTCAATCACTGAACTGTACAACGATAGTCACACGGAGGCTTGAAGTTCACAAATAGCTTGGCCATGTATTCAGGGGAGTTGAAACAGGTAGGAATAAAATGAGGGTGGGAATGACCAGAGATATTACAAGAAGTGGAGGAAGTGGCGCTGGGTGTGACACACGCTGAGAAAAGCTCACCAAAATGTGACACGCCAGGCGCTTGAGTGGAACCCCTAGGGGAAGATGAAGAGAGGGCGTCCAAGACAGGCACGTACTCCGGCACCATTGTAGGGGACGATTTGCTGTAAGCACTATGGGTCCATCGTTAGTTTTAAACAATGTGATAGCATATGGATACAATGTTTTGCTATACTATATCGAATCAGCCGCGTCCGCCTGCGCGCATAAACGGCGTTTGTGTGGTAGTATAACCAAGGTTCCCGACAGCACTTGCTACGTCACTAACACCTGGAGGTCGCCGCGGTGAGTTCTACCTCACTATTACGAAGAGTGATTAACGTACAATCTAGGCTTTCATGCAGAACGTCCGGGTAAACCCGTGCCCCGACAAATATAGCATTGTTTAAAATTAAATTAGTTTTAGAAAAGAAGGTTACGCGTCTACGAACATAGGATTGGTAACACATTGATGAAACACTCTTGTAATATTTCGTCAGACTTTCTTCTGAGACCGCTGCAACGCGTGGTGACGGGCATCTCGCTCCTTACTCTAACCCCAAACCTGCAGACATCTCGGGATGCTGTGTAGATCTTTGCTAGGTATTGATTACAAAAATATGCTGCATCAGAAGACTAATACCCTTTGTGGGAATACTCGTATAACCCTACTTTATCATACAATATGTTCGGGCTTTTTAAAAATAAAATATGACATAAAATCAAACAAAAGAGAACACGACCCGAACCACCACATAACGCAAATCGATTGAACGTTTTACTTAGTTAGGTGGTTCTTAAACTTTTTTTGGGTACGTATCCCCACGAATTGGAAATGCGTATTCATCGAACCTTCTTACTAGTTCTAGCGTGATCAGTGACCAAATCCGAACGTGGGTGTGACTTTGACATCCGTCGAACCTCTGAGTTTGACTAACCAAACCCCTGGGGTTCGATCAAACACGGGCTTAGAACCACTGCGCTAGGTCATTTTGGGCTCTGTATTGCATAACATAATCGCAAACGAAATGCATTCTAGTAGCTTTTTGAGCACGTACACACACACATACACATCTAAACAAAAACACAAACACATAGAGAGGCTTTAGGATTTATTATATAACACTTGAGTATTCGATAACACTGTTATATATATCATTGTATTAGCCATGTTTGGGGGGGGGCGACACATTGGGTTTGTGTGTGTGTGTGTGTTCTGATATAATCCTTTATTTGTTAAATACGAGTATCATTTTAGACCAGACATGAAGAAAGAAAGAATGTATTATTTGCTTGAACCTCGCTAGACACTTTCAGGCTACGCGTTACACATCTGACCACTGTCTGAAAGGACTGAGGACATCAAGCTAGACACTTTCAGGCTACGTGTAACCCATCTGACCACTGTCTGAAAGAACTGAGGACATCAAGCTAGACACTTTCAGGCTACGTGTAGCTCATCTGACCACTGTCTGAAAGGACTGTGGACATCAAGCTAGACACTTTCAGGCTACGTGTAACCCATCTGACCACTGTCTGAAAGAACTGAGGACATCAAGCTAGACACTTTCAGGCTACGTGTAGCTCATCTGACTACTGTCTGAAAGGGCTGAGGACATTTAACAGTCAACATATTAAAAAATTAACTGATACAGGCCTTTACATAATTATTTAACAGTTTTCTACCTTTATTGTCTAACTATTTTGGCTTCCTTAGGAGTATAGGCGAATTTTATGAAGATTGTTCTCTGATAATACAGCCTCTCCTATCTCCATTTCAAACAATTTCCTTCATGACTTATTTGTCTCGTTTTCTTACTTCTTCCCCGTGGACTTCAGACCAGCATTTATTTCGTGATGTTATTTACTGTCTTTCTGATGTTGTGTCCTAACCCCTACCTTTTCATTGCTATTATTTCATTCTCTACTATCTGTGGCCACTTAACTTCGAGACATACCGCAGAAGAGATGTCACTTTTTTTAAAAAATGAATTTGAATTCCACATTGGTTTAGAATATTAAAATGCATTTCATCGCTGCTGATTTTAACCTGAATATCATAAGTGATGTTTCAGTTAGACTAAATTTCACGTAAAAGTAAAAAAAAAAATCTAATTTTCCCATTAATTTTTTCGTGATTCTATTCTTTTTTTTAAATGTAATTATTTTAAAAAATGCTTTAAAAAAATAAGCCCGTATCCCAATTACCTAGAGTGAGCACCCACCTTAGTGTTAAATAATAATATTTGAGAAAGTTTAGGGGAGATCAGTCATGATTTTATTTCAAAGGATAACACATCTTAATGGGAATTTAATTGGCGTCGAGTAAAATTTTTGGCAACAAAAATAAACATCGTAATTATTAAATTCTTCCCGGTCTGTCGCATACACACACACACACACAATCGTAGGCACTGGCGAACACATACATACAAATACACACACTATCACACACACACACATATATATATATATATATATATATATATATATATATATATATATATATATATGTATGTATGTATGTATGTATGTATGTATGTATGTATGTGTGTGTGTGTGTGTGTGTGTGTGTGTGTGTGTGTGTGTGTGTGTGTGTGTGTGTGTGTGTGTGTGTGTGTGTGTGTGTGTGTGTGTGTGTGTGTGTGTGTGTGTGTGTGTGTGTGTGTGTGTGTGTGTGTGTGTGTGTGTGTGTGTGTGTGATAGCGTATCCTAACATTTCACCCGATCCCCAGCTATTGATTTTGCAAACTCCTAAGGCATCCCTTTTACTTCAGTTCTTCCAGAAGACTCCACATACAGGTCTGTCTTGATCGCCCTCTCTTCTGCTTTCCCTGGGGGCTCCACTCAAACGCATGTCATGTCACATTTAAGTGAGCCTTTTGCATTGTGTGTCCCACCCAGCGACACCTCCTCCTTTTTATTTTAACCGACCAAAATATTACAACAAGAAATATGCATCGGGAAAAATATTTAAATGTTAAAGTAGCACCCAAACATAAATAAAATATCATTTGTCCTGATATTTGTCAGTGAGATATTTTGTCTGGGATATTTTGTCTGAGATTATGTGTCCTGTCAACAGAATATTGTTTTTAAAATTTTAAATATTGTTGCTTTTTTAATAGTCGCTAAAGGGTTAACGCCTGCTGCACAATCCTGATAGTCATGAATGGGTTAACACCTGCTGTCGTCCAATATAATCTGGTACATGACGACGACACTGTACCAGAAGTGTTTTGCCACCTAGCCAGATTTCGTTGCTTCACAGTTCCAAAATGTTCAAACTCGTCTTGGTTTTATCTCTTTGTTACATCGCTGCAGGTCAGTAGCATGTGAAAACTTTCGGTTTTAAATATTTTCTTATTGTAATGACATTTAAATTATACTATTTTTATTTCCCTTAGGCTGAGATAGACGTTTTGCTAATTTAAATTCGTTATTTATTTTCGAAGATCATAAATTTCATAAATCTTTTATCTAACAAAATTCCGGTGGAAGAATTTTCATTAAGGGAACAATATCGCCTAGAGTGAGATTAAGAAAAGAAACAAAAACGGGTCCAAAAACATCTTGTTAAAGATTTTACAGTGGTAATGATGAACCTACAGTTGTAATGCAGCATATGATTGTATATTTTTGTTGTTTTCTTGTTTGTATACCTTTTCTTAAAACATTAACTTAAGTATTTAAAAATTCATATAAAGCTTCCGAATTTACTTATTTATAGCAAAAACTATCAATTTTCACGATGTAATATAATTTAATTTCTGTTAGAATTTTTTTTTCCTCATTGATTTTGAGCTAGATCAAGACACTTTTGAATTTTATCACATTGTTGTTCTTTTAGTTCCGTTAGGCTGTCGGTATGTTTTTCAGCTTCAACCAAATTGAGAAAAAATGTAACACTGTACAAGTAAATCTAAAATAAATAACAAGTTTTATGTCAAACTATTTTTAGAAGAATGTTTGCATCATACATTGTGCAATGTTTTTATCTATCTCCCTGTTGTGTTCTGGATCATTGACTTTTATCCACGCTCTCCACACACTCCACTTTTTGTGTCCCAGAATGCGGACACATCAAACGAAATGGCGGCTGCGATAGTGTCTTAGCATGTGACCGCCATAGAGTTGGAACAGATATATTCAACACAATTACTAATAATGCAACCTACGGAGAGTTTTGTCAGTAAGTGACATTCTTTTAGCGTTTGCTCCGTCAGTGGTCTCACGTTTTATTTTATTTTCGTGCAAAATAATTTTTTTAAACTAGAAAAAAAATATTAGTTTAGTATGGTACATAATTCGTGTTTCTGTCATATCGGCCCATGAATGCACTTTGAAGTCTCGACTGTGTAGGTCTACAGACGTCTGTACTCTGAAAGATTCTAGCAGATTAACCATAGGACTCATGTTAGGTATCCGATCTCGCTCCATTATAGAACACAAACCTTCAGTATATTAAAGTTTGCTCTATCGGCGACAATATTATTCATCATATATTTGTTAGAAATAGGGTGCCTTGCTGTAAATATTCACTTGCGTTGGTCATTCAGGCCAGAAATATATATATGTTTAAATTTTAAAGTGCAAGCAAGGTAGTTGATCTAGTTTATAATATACATAACGTTATTTTTAAGGCTATGAGAATGTTAAGTTAAATTTAATTTGTATAAAATGTAGATCATCATTGTGCAAAAACATGTCAAACGGTTTGAGTATTTATGAATAATAAGCAATTAATTTAAACACCGTTGTATAAATACATATTAATATAAAATAATATAAATAACTTTCTAGGAAAGCAACAGCCTTTAAATCGTGCTACAACGGAGCTGAGAAGAAATGCGACAACCAAGAGCTTAAGGATAACTTGACTGCTGAGGTGAACGTGGCTGATTTCGTGTGTTCAGAAATAAGCAAAAAAGGTGAAAAAAATATATAACTTTTGTCGACAAGTTATAATTTAGATTTTCAAGTGGCATGTTTCTTTTTATTGAATCCACATGATTATGTAAAGCTTGTTGATTTATATTTCTTAAAGTACGAGTTTCTTTAATATTCTACAAACCGTTCTTAATTTTATTAATACTTCAGCCTCAATTAAATCGAGATGTTTTAAAGTTTAGTTTCTTGAATTCATAATCTACAACCTACATAATCTACAATATATTATTGTTTTTTTTTTAATTCAGATTTTTTTACTGTTGCTAACTCTGAGTGCGTCAAGAACGAGTTGAAGGTGGTAGAACTCGAACTGGCTATCGACGGCTGTACGAAGGATAGCCAACAGAAGCTAAAGTTCAGCTTAGAAAATATCACACCTGGTCAAGATGCTTCGTCCTTCAACTTTTGCCCGTAATTGTGTTTTATTAACTGGATTAATTTGACATTATTTGATGTATGTTTATTTTTTAAAAACGCTAAGCGCTTGAACAAGTTAAAATTTGGTGACTTTATAAAAATATTTTTTTACTTTCTCGTATATAGGTCTACAGAGTATAGAAAATAGATTGTAATCGTGCAAGAAAAATCGAGGTTTTTTTTTCAAATCTCGACGTTTTACACCTCCCCAAGTCATAAAAAATAATTTTGCGATTTTGTCCGTATGTCTGTGTGTTTACATGTGTGTGCGTGTGTGTGTGTATGTATGTGTGTCTGTAAACACGATAACTTGACTACCGTTACTGGTAGGTTGATGAAATTTCATATATAAGTATTATATCAAAATCATAGATCTGTATCAACTTTTCAGCTCTATTATGCACATTTTGTTTGGCGTTCACTTGGTGTGCAATTCTTTTTTCTACGAGATTCTATTCTATTATAAAAAGTTTAAGTAATTAAAAAACGGATTTAAAATATTGTCTATATCTCGTGCTGCCATCCCCCGTAGTGTTATATAAGAATCTTCGAGAAAGTTTAGAGGAGATCACTCCCGGTTTATTTTTTATTTTACTCAATAATTATGTAGTTGAGATAGATATTGTAAAATGGCGGTGCAGCGTTCATGAATGGTTGTTGTTTTGCTGACTTTTGCTCTATAGATTCGTGAATGAACTCTTCGTCTGTGAGCTCAAAAAACATACTGACATGTGTGGCAAACGTGTTGGAGGTTTCCTCGACGGCTTGTTGAAGGCTTCGACTAGACCTTCCTTTGAGCAGTTCAGTTGTGGCAACTAGGCCATGAATTCTCGTGAGTTTTGTTGGAAGGATATTTTTAGAAAAATTTTCTTTTGTGATTTATGAAAAAAAAAATCAAATTATCTTTCAAACCAAACAAGTTGATTATCTTTACATCTAATATATAAAGCTCAGTTCTGTATGTAATGCATTTGTATATCGTTGGAATTGTACGAATTTAAGTGTTAGAAAATTATCGTGCGCATTTGTCTAAATTTATGAGCTAAAAAATTACTATTGAAAGTGTTGGGAAATAATTTTCATTTTTCAAATTACAGTAATAATTGTCGGCATGTTCATTAAACACAAGTTTTAAAAAAAATATCATCTTTTACAAAAATTCTAATTATGTCTTTATTTAGTCCTTTAGCACTTACTTCCCTTTGATAAATTAGGAAAAACACAATTACTTCCCTTTATAAACCCATTGCATTCCGTGAAAATAATTTACTTTTTAATTACTTTGTTTTGGTGTTGGGAAAAAAAATAATTACATAATTAGCGGGGATTGATCAAGTGCAAATGTTGTAGGTATTTTACGGATAAGCTTGGAGTATTAAAATTGTTCATCAAATTGAAACAGGCGCGTTCGTTTAAGTGAGTGCAAAAGACTATGAATAAGTTGGGGTACTATAGTCGTTCATTAAGCTAAAACAGGTGATTCCGCCCCGGGCGTTTATGTTCGCGTTAGTGTTTTCTTTGTGTTTAGGTGGGTTTGCGTTAGTGGTTGCGTTTTGATTTGGTTCGTTTTTGTTCTTTCTTTTTTCGTTTTTGTTTGTGTTTTTTTTTTTTGGGTTTGTATTTGTGTTTTTGGTTGGTTTTGCGTTTGAATTTGGTTTGTTTTCGTTTGCTTTTTCGTTGTTTTTTTTTTTTTGTTGGTATTGGTGTTTGTGGTTGGGTTTGTTGTTAGGTTTTTGTTTACGTTTGCTTTTTTGTTTGTTTTTTCTTTGTGTTTGTATTGGTGTTTGTGGTTGTGGTTGGGTTTGTTGTTAGGTTTTTGTTTTCGTTTGTATTTGTAATTGTGTTAGCGTTATGTTTGCGTTTTGTTGTTTTGGTTTTGGTTGGTTGTGGTTTGGGTGGGCAATGCCGGGTTTATGATGATTACTAAACACACAGGTAATGGTCTTTAACAGGAAGGTTTTTCACAGAAGCCAGAGCAGGGCCTGGCCGGGACGGCTAGTATATATTATTGATCAAATACAGTCTCACACTATATTCTCCAGGTCGCAGCATTGAGATGATTGTTCCATTACTGTCTACGGCATCCAAAATAAAACGTTGAACATCTGATCTGGCATATTGATAAAGCGTATGCTTTATCCGTCAATAATCTTCACACACAAAAAAATTAAAATTGTTTCTTGTCATTAAAAGACATTTCATGGAAAAATAAATAATTATCCCAATTACGGAACTGTATACAACTATAAATTGATGGTGTGAATGATCATAAATATTATAGGGGTGGAGGAAGTGGCGCTGGGTGGGACACACACTGCGAAAGGCTCACCAAAATGTGACACGCCAGGAGCTTGAGTGGAACCCCACGTAGGTAGTCCATCATTGAATCATTAACATTGGTTGAAGCCATCCCCTGCAATCTTCGGTTCAGCTGAACATATTTGTTCTTTGAAGCTTCTGGTTGATTAACTCCAGCCAGATGACGTTCCAGTTCGATTTCGATGTGATCTTGTTCTAGACGAAACTGGTTGATCAATTTATAAACGGAAGGATGATTGCACTCTACCGTTTGTTGGAATGCGCGATGCCATGCCTCGGCTGAGTTGTTTGTACGTGGTAGATTTTCAGAGACACGATTATGGACATTCCAAATAGCAAGAGCGAAGCGTGGGTCACCTCGACGGTTTCTCCTTCGCCTCCCTATGTAACTATCCTCCCAATAATCTACCAGTGGCATAATTTCTGCAGGACTAGCTTCTACTAAATGCTCGAATGCAGTACAGACATCATTGATGTTTTTAGCTTCGTTTTTAGCCGGATCAGGAGCGTGATTGTGTTCCAATGATGACAGAAAAAACATCGTTCATCATTTTCATCCGTCCTCGGCAGCCATCTTTCTTGCAGCATCTCCATGTCGTATTTCCATCAGCATTTGCTCTGTCCTTTCGATATCTGTAGCCTTCGACCAAAATAATTACCTTCCCTTTCTGTGATTCTATCTTCTCCATGTTAATTGGGCTAGAAATATTTTCAAACTGCATTTATACCATATCAACCACAATATATAAATAAACACATGTCGTTTTATCGTACCGCCGATTGTTTAATGCCATATTTGTTTAGCTTACAACATGTGTTTTTATAATTGACTGCGCTCTTTTGTCGGCGCTCTTATGTCGGCGCTCTTTTGTCTGCGCTCTAATGTCTGCGCTCTTTTGTCTGCGCTCTTTTGTCTGCGCTCTTTTGTCGGCGCTCTTTTGTCTGCGCTCTTATGTCGGCGCTCTTTTGTCGTGCGCTCTTTTGACGGGGTGCCCTTTGCTAGGTATTGTTTACAATGTAATTGTGTTGAAGGGTATTTCTTCCAGCACTAAAATTAAGAACGAAGAAGAAGAAGACATTTGACCAAATATCGATTTTGTATGTGTATACTTGCATGGATTCTTCTTAAATAATTGAGCATAGTGAACTTCAATTGATGTAACAGTTCCAAATTTCAATGCCCGCATTACAGCAGGTGATTTGAAGTACGATAAGCTTACAATATTACAAGGGACCGACCATTCCACATGATTTGAGCTAAACGTTCTTCGTGTGTTGCCAATTGTTTCTGAACTCTTTTGTCTACAGCCCAGGTTGTAATAAACATTGATAAACATTGGTAATATTTACAGCTCAATGATTACTTTTCAGTAAACAACGTACAAGCAACAGATGGGTAGCTAGAGTGAAGCGCCAAACTAGGGGGCGCCAAAATGGTAGAAAAAAATATAAAAGCTCATTTTCAGCTGCAGTTTTTAATTATAAATAGTCAAGTTTTTTACAAATCTCGACGTTTTACACCTCGCTGAGTTGGAAACAAATACTTGTACAGTTGTGTCCTTATGTCTGTAGTGTGTGTGTGTGTGTGTGTGTGAGAGAGAGAGAGAGAGAGAGTGAGAATGGGAGGGTGTCTGTGTGTCTGTGAACACGATAACTTGAGTTCCGACTGGAACAGTGAGATAAGATAAAATGTTTTGTTATAGTCGCTCACTAAATCAAATCAGGCGCGTTTCCCGGCGCCGTGCAGGCTGCTATAGAGTCGTTGCATATGACGTAACGGATCGTTCAGTATGTAACCATCCGCCATCGCGGTGTACAGGTACTCATTCAAAATGGCGATCTGTGCTGTGGAAGGTTGTGATACTCGAAGTGGCAGATCAAAAGGTATTCCTTTATTTCGACTGACAACGGTTATATTAAAACAAGGTGATAGAGATCGGCAGTCAACAGAAAGAAGACGCTGTCAACTTTGAGCCAATATTTATCGAAGTTATTTAAATAGTGGTCTATAATTTATTTTCTCCTTTTTAGTGTATTATTACATAAAAGCTTGTTATTAAAACGTTTTTTTTAATTAATTTCTGTTAGTACATTACATGTTTTATTTACAATAGAGTTACATGACTAAAAACCATTGCGCACCTATTGAACGTGATGACGCGTGTAGAGTAGTTAGATAGAACAGCCTACTAAATTGGTCAAATTTTTAATTAAATCATAATAAATTAATCAGGCGACCAATTAAGTCAAGTTGAATGTCATGATGCATTTTCTTTATGTCTTAACCCACGTACCAATCTGTCAGTTAGAAGTGCCTGCTATTTCGCTCGGGCGTTTCGATCTAGTCAGACAGACTGACGACAGACAATGAAAGTGAGTTAAATAAAAGCATGTAAAGAAAAAAAAATTAAAAATAAATAAATATCACAAAAAACGTTTTAATAACAAACTTTTATGTAATAATGCACTAAAAAGTAATAGCGGCGAAGGGGATGAATAGGCGAATGTTGATCGTACTTGGTTACCCGTCACGTGAATTCATGTTCACTCCTCGTGTTGTGAGCTGCAGAGGCGTAGCGAGGGGGGGGGGGGGGCGGGGGGGGGACATATGTCCCCGGGCGCCGACCTTAGGGGGGGGGGTGCAAATCGAAAGTTTGAGGGGGGGGGGGGGTGCAAATGAAAAGTTCGAGGGGGGTGCGAATCGAAAATTTGCTCCCGAGGGGGGCGCCAAATTGAAAGTATGTCCCCGGGCGCCGGGAAGGGTCGCTACGCCTCTGGTGAGCTGTGTCGTCATGTTGTCAACTTCCGGTTTGAACTTGCTTGTGTCCATGTATCACAGGCGTGGCTTAGCGGTAGAGAACGAGACGGTGAACCCGGAAGTCTAGAGTTCGAATCCCGGTTCAAAGCTGTAGAATGTCCATGACTCCACCCAGCTCTGATGGGTATTTAACTCACGTTAGGGCATAATGCTGACCACATTATCCCCGTGTTATTAAACTTTAAGTTATGTGGAGTAGCCACTTATTCTAGGTTTGTCTTTTCTTCTGTGTAAGTTTATTTAGAATGGACTGTGTGTAGATAGCTGCTAAACATGTATTATTAATGCTGCAACACTTATTTAGTCCAGTGTTTTAAATCCGTTTGTAGTGTTTTAAATCCGTTTGTAAGTATTGTTCTTGCATGTGGTGCATGATTACACTTACAGATATGCATGTGTATTTACAACACTGACAATTTTTTTAAAGTACATTTTTGTGATTTTGTTAAAGTAATGTCAGTTTTATATCCTTCCATTCTACACTCATAAAAATAAATTCTATGCATTTATTATCCCACGAATTTGAATTTTAATGACAAGAACAATTTTTAGAATTATTTCTTTTTAAAAAGATTAATGACATATAAAGCATAGACTTTATCAATACGCCAAATCAGATGTTCTTCGTTTTAGTTTTGTTGCCTTAGACAGTAATGAAACCATCAACTCAACACTACGACCTGGGGAATATAGTGCAACATTGTATTTTAAAAACAATCAAAATAAAAACACAGTTCAACTTAAAGATTAAAATAAAGCCCTTAAACATTCTCGAATATTTTTACATAACACGACATGATATTGCAACTCCGGATATAGACATGCTTTTTAAATTGCGCTCCCAGTGAACAGAAAATAATGCGTACTAGTGGGGAACATGAGTACTTTATAAATTCATATGCGTTGTTTGTTTGTTTTTGTTTTGTTTTTTTGAGAAATCGGAAATATCGTAAAGTACTACTTCCAGTCACCTAAAATTACTTAAAATTTGACTGGAAAAAGATAATTAGAATTTTTTTTACTTATATGTGAAATTTCGCCTATCTAACTGAAACAATACTCAAGTTATAGGCTTTTGAAAAACCGAAGATAGAATAAGTTCCACTTCCTGTTTCCGGAAATCGCTGAAAAGTTGAAACAGAACTAAGCATTTGATAAAATACTTATGTATGAAATTTCGTCAACCTAGCTGTAACGGTACTCAAGTTATCGTGTTCACAGACAGACACATAGACACACAGAAACACACACATACGCACACACAGACATACAGACAAGATTGCAAAATTAAGTTTTTCTGACTCAGGGAGGTGTAAAACGTCGATTTTTTGCACGATTACAATACTTTCTCTATACTCTGTATACTAGAAAGTAAAAACATGTAAAAGTGATCGATTTCTTTGGTTTATACTCTATACGACAGTTTGTTATATTTTTTACACAAATCACAAAGAACGTGTTCTAATTTTCTAACAAAACTCACGAGCTTTCCTTTCCCCGGAATCACAATGCTTGAATGCAGGTCTAGCTGCCACCATGGTTAATCGGCTGACGAAAACTCCAACAACATTGCCACATATTACATTCGTTTTGTCCACACAAACTTTCAACTGACCCATGAATCTAGGAATGAAAAGTTAGTAGGCCTATATATAAACAAGTCATAAAAGTTTAACGACTTTCGTTCAATATCTTTTCTTCTTCTTCTTCTTCTTCTTCGTTCTTAATTATTAGTGTTGAAGGGGATCGAGATTTATCTGCCAGTGCGTTTGAACTCGAGACTTTGTTCGAATTTATCAACCATGAGCTTTTTGCCGACTCGACCACGCCTCCGACACAATTAAGCGTTACGTGTCAACTTGTTATGCGCCATTGAGGCCATTGAATCCGATTTCAGCCTGGTTTTCTTTTTGGATTTGCTTCCATAGCCTTTGTCAAACCAAGAACACTATCTATCGCTGCTAAACAT